GGACACAGCAGCCGTCATCCTCATAAGCTTAGCCAACATGGGCAGCGGTGCTTTATCATTGCAACCCCGACCATCATGATTTTCTAAACCCTAAACCCTAGACCCTAAACCCTGATCAGGTGGAGGGCCTGACGTGGTACACCGGCGCCATCTCATGTGCTGAGTGGGAGGGGGTGGCCCTGAAGGACGTCCTGGACTCCGTCGGAGTGCCATGGAGTTTGGGTTTAGGCTAACAGCTAAGTAGCTCAACAAGGACACAACAACAACAACAAATAATAATAATAATCATAATAATCATAACAGCAATAATAACAATAATAACATTAATAACAATAATAACAATAATAGCAATAGTTACAATAACAATAATAAGAATACTAATAATACTGATAAACTTTGCAATGCCCTCAAGCACCATGCGCCAGCAGTCATAGTCGTCAGATCAGCCGCAGTGCTTGTAGCAATGGTCACATGCGGTCGCTGCACGTCTCTATAAAGTCCCTTCCAGGCCCCTTACTCTCCGGAAAAATCAAAGGCACCTTCACCACTAAAGACAACTGCCATGAAAACGTAAACGAAGTTCCTTCACAAGAGCGCGTCAGAAAGGTGCCATCCACCCTGGGCATGGAGAGTGAGCTCGAGGGCGAAGATGCTGGGTTGCTGTTAGGGAACTTAATTTTAGGTTACCCTACTTTATGGGGATATATATATATATAGCAAACACCATATAAACCATAAAACCTAAACCCCGAACCATTCCTTAACAGCAACCCAGGATGACCAGCTGCATCTCCAGATGGAGGGAATGGATCGGCCAAAAGTGGGCGAATGGCGAACCTCTGCTCGTCTTTGGGAAGGGTTTTAGGGCTTTAGGATTTAGGGTTTAGGGTTTACCTATAGTCTCCATTGAAGTGGTTAGACCAAAAAAAAGGAACTACAATGGAGACTACAGGTAGGGCTTGGTGGAGGAAGACGGAGGTCTGAACGACAAGTCGTTGAAATTTGATATGCACCAACGCCCTACTCGAATTATGAGGGTCCCTGTATCGTAGCCTGATACCCTATAAAGGTATAAACAGCCAGACCCCTATTCTTCAATGAGGCTAATGCCCATGTTTTGGTATAGCCTATAGAACCTTCTATGAAACGTCATTCCCCCCCTCCAAAAAAAACCGTAATCCTAAACTCCCAGAACCCTAAACTAAACCCTAAGCACTAAGCCCTAAGCCACCCTAAACCCTAAACCCTAAACCCTATAAGCCCCAAGCACTAACCCCTAAGCCCTATAAGTCCGAAGCCCGCGATATTCGAATGCCGAAGCTTCCCAGAGAACCCAATAACCCCTTCATTAAGCAATCTACCTCAAACTATATGGGGCCTTAAAGGGATCTATAAGGGCTCCTTAAAGGGATCTATAAGGGTTTCTATAAGGGAATGAAGGAATGTACCTTGAATTATAGGGGCCTTAATGTTAGGATTTAAGGCATATTCCTTAATTAAGCAATATACCTTAAAGTTATAGGGGCTTTCATATTATGGTTTAAGGTATATTCCTTAATTAAGCAATGTACCTTAAACTATAGAGGCTAATTAATGTTGTGATTTAAGGTATATTCCTTGATTAAGGGGTCTTTGGGTTCTCTGGGTTCGCCGAGGAGATACGAAGGGCTTCTACGGGGCGAGCATTCCCCTGGCCTGGGCGCAGGCAGAGGGAACGGTGCGGTGATTTCATGCTTTTTCTTCTGGGTTTAAGGTTTAGGGTTTAGGGTTTAGGGTTTAGGGTTATCTCCTTTGTGGGGGTAGGGGTGGGGTTTAGGACTGAAGTTGTTCTACGATTGCTTTGTGGGCGCTTCCTCGTCGCAGGCTTCGCCTGCAGGTCTGTCAGGCCTTGTGCCACCCATGAAAAAGCCGTTCATATCACCGTTTATAGCCCCTTAGAAGTCTGTAAAGGAGCCTTGTCAAACCCTTACAGAACCTGCCAAAGCCCTTAGCCATGTAACCCTAAACCCTGAATCCTAGACCCTAAACCCAAAACCCCAAGCCCAAAACCCCTAAACCCAAAACCCTAAACCCTAAACCCTAAACCCCTACACCCAAAATCCTAAAAACCCTAAATCCTAAACCCGCAACCCAAAACCCTTAAGCCCTAAACCCTTAAACCCGAAAACTCAAAATCCTAAAACCCGAAACCCTAAACCCCACAACCCAAAACCCTTAAACCCGAAACCCTAAAACCCTAAACCCTAAACCCTAAACCCTAAACCCTAAACCCCTAAACCCAAAATCCTAAAACCCTAGATCCTAAACCCACAACCCAAAACCCTTAAACCCGAAGCCCTAAAAAGGAAGCGCTCCCCAGACTCTAGGAGGCCCTTCCCCCCCTGGGTTTAGGGTTTAGGGTTTAGGGTTTAGGGTTTAGGGTTTAGGGTTTAGGGTTTAGGGTTTAGGATCTTTCAACTTAAAGGGTCCGGTCCGGCGATTGTTTGGCGGGGTTGAAGGCTTTAGGGTAGTTTAGGGTTTCGGGTTTAGGGTTTTATGGTTTAGGGTTTCGGGTAAAGCGGTTTAGGGTTTAGGGTTTAGGGTTTAAAGTTTAAGGGTTTTGGGGTTCAGGGTTTCGGGCTTAGGGCTCAGGGTTTGGGGTTTAGGGTTCAGGGTTTAGGGTTTAGGGTTTAGGGTTCAGGGTACGGAAATCTGGGGTTGATGGGTGTGTTGCTTTTTGTTAGGGGGTTTAGGATGGTTGAGGGCTGTAAATCTAGGACATGTTCAGCTGGGTAGTTGCCGTGATAGGAGCCTTATAGAAGGTCTATATACCTTATAGACGCCTTATAGAAGCCGTATATACCCTAAACTCCTGTAGTTTCCTTTAAAAAAGGGCTTAGGGCTTAGGGTTGTAGGTTCAAGGCCCCGGTGTTCCGGGCTCCCAAAGACCCAAACCTGCAACATGGGTGACGGTGTAGACACTTCCGGCCTGCTTTAATGATCCTAAGCCCTACCTGTGGCCCAAAAACCTACTCTTTTTAAGGACTTATCTACATAATATATATATATATATACAATATATGCATGTATATATATATATATACATATATATACATATATATATATATATATAGAAACGATAATAAGGAACCCTAAAAAGGTAGTTCTTTCGGCTGCAGGCAAACCCTAAACCCGAGGATCCTCGCCGTGACGTGCTCCTGGCTTTCAAGATGAACGGCGAGCCTATCCCCGCCGATCACGGCGCACCCCTCCGCTGCGCCGCTCGGCAGAGCGTTGAGTTGAGGAGTTAATGTAGGGGCCTTAGTAATTAGAATAGGGTTTTGGTGGCTTCTTATCATATTTTGTAGTATAATATACCCCCAAGTCCCCAAACCCTATTCTAATGATTAAGGCTCCTATAGTACAGTGGGGCAGCACAGGGCTTCAAGGATCGGAAGTTTCGGGGATTCAGTGTTTAGGTTTAGGATCTGGAATCCCTACAACCTATAAGCCCAAAATCCCCCTAAAGCCCAAAATCCCCTAAAGCCCGAAATCCCCTAAAGCCGAGGTCGTCCCTGGCGTGGCGGGTGCACGCAGCGTGAAATGGCTCTCGAAGTTGATCGTGGCTGAGGCCTCCCAGATGAAAAACAGGGGCTTCTGGGCTTCTGTTTAGGGTTTAGGGTTTAGGGTTTAGGGCTGAGGCCTCCCAGATGGAAAACAGTGGCTTCTGGGCTTCTGGTTTGGGGGCTTAGGGGTTTTGGCTGCCTGTAGTTTTGGGGGTTTTGGGGTTTTGGGGGGCCAAAGCCCTATACCCCTAAAGCCTCAACCCTAAACCCGAAACCTAAACCCTAAACCTCCAAACCCTAGACCCGAAACCCTCAACCCTAAACCCTACACTCTACATTCCCCGCCGCCAAGCCCTAAACCCTAAACCCTCTACCCTAAACCCTACACCCATTACACGTTCAAAAAAAAACTACACCCTAAATACCCCGACCCTAAGCCCTAAATCTTTTAGGGGTTTAGGCTGCACTTCGACTGGGTGCTTCTCATACATACAGAAGCCCGTTTGGGCTTTATAGGGTTACAGTAGAAGCCCAAAAGTTGGAAACTCAGTAGCCTCAATCCTTAAGAGTAATGTATAGGGAATCCCAGCACTATTTGTCCATAATCCGGTTCCCAACTTTTTGGGGTTTACTATACCCTATGCTTCCAAGGACCTTATAGTTAGGGCCTAGACCCCTTAAGGACCCAATAATAAGGTCCCTAGAACCCATAGGTATAGATTAAGCTCATGCCTGAGGCCTCAGGCCCTTGGCGGCGCATTTTGTTCCACCGGTTCAGAGTTGTTCCTGTTGCCTTTGCCGAAACGGGACCTCGAAGCTTTCGCATGTCTAACAGAGGCCAGCGGAAGCTACACTACCTAATGAATCCGAATCTCTCAGCCGGGATTCCGCCCCAAAAGTACACCTAACCAAGCCCCATCTCAACCTAACCAACCCTTCCGGAAGTAGAGCATGCGGGAACTGCGGTCGGACGATACCTCAGTCTTTTTGGAGTCGTTGGCGGAAACCCCAAACCCCAAACTCAAGCCCTTGAGCGTAAACCCCAAACCGTAGACTCTTGATCAATGCTTCACAGCGCTGTGGCCCGACGTCACAGACTGGGGTCGGGGTGTGTCGAGCGGACGGCGTATGGCTATGGTTTCGGGCTTCGGAGTTTTTGTGTAGGTCAAGTGTTTAGGGTTTAGGGACTTTGGGGGTTCAGGCTTTAGGGTTTTAGGGTTTCTAGATTCGAAATTTTGGGTATGGATTTCGGGATGAACTTTGGGTTTTCGGTTGCAGGGTTTGCACGTCCAACAGAACCCTGGCGCCACAGATCCAAGGTGGGAGGACTTCGACGCATGAAGCGTAGTTTCTGGGCTTTGGTGACTCCTTAGTAGTCTTGGTGGGTTTAGCTTTGGGGTGTTGTTATGGGGGATACTACAATAGTAAAATACACCATGCTTTGCATCTGGTCAGGTGCAGATTGGCCCGGACAAGATTAAGGCGTCGGTGACTCTTGACCGTGGGCATGTACTGTTTTCCGCAGTATTGTGTTTTGGAATGAATACAAGTCTGAAGTCCCCATGTCTGATCCTGAAACTGGAGCCATGAAGAAAGCACAGTCTAAGCGATAAGCGTTTCCACGGCTCAATCGACCGATCCCGAATTGGCCTAAGCCCTCAAGCCCTGACTCAAGCCCTGTCGATTTTGCAAGTCGCAAATGAGGGGTGGAAAGTTCCCGCACATGAGTACGTAGTTCTTTGGATGGGCTCGTTACAATGGTTTCTTCGGGCTGAGCGTCAGGAAGTAGGGTCAGTGGCATTGTAAGACAGCCCTCTCAACTTTGAGGGAAAGTCTGCACTACACGAGGCCCGAGCACTCCTCCCTCTAGGGACACCATGGTTTTGCTAGCTTGCTCGCAGCTCGGAACCTCGGAAGCTCGCAGGCTCCCCTAATTTACAGTTGTTCCGAAAGCCCAACATCGGGCTCCAAGATAGCTGATAATCAGGTAGTCGTGTTCAGGATAGCAGTAACGTAGGTTAGCATTTGGGGGCGTATGAACTGTATGTATTATCATCAGGTACTTGGACCCAGAGTCTGCTTGTTTGGTGAGGCCCGGGTTTCACATGTGGCCGCGGATTCTCCGCAACCTTCCTCCCAAACCCCTAAACCTTAAGCCCGTAATCTTTGAAACAGATCTTCGACAACGCCATCCTCTTCTGCATCCTTGTCTCCTCTGTCGGCATGGCAACAGACTCAAATGGGGATTTCAAGGGGGTCCTTACAACGAGGGAAATTACAACTGCTTGTCCTATATGGCGTTTACTTGAGAATCTAGGGTAGAGCTCACCGGCTTGTGCGAATCACAACATCCTTGTTGGTCGATTTAAAGACTTTGGGCTAGGGTTCAAGGTTTAGGATCACCTTCTTTTGGGAAGTGCAATACTAAGTAATTGAGGCTACGAGACGTTCATAAGTCGCACTTTTGAGCTCCAACCCTTGACCCCATAAAGAAGGCACTTAATTCTAGACCCTCCAACTCCTGAGCCCCAAACGAAGAACCGTAAACCCTATAAAACTCTGCAAGCCCCAAACCTTAGGCACCAAAAATCTTGAACCCTACAAACCCTATGAGCCCAAACCCAAACCGCCCAAACACCCACAGTGAACCCCAGAAAGTTTGAACAGATGATGAATGCTAGGATTCCTTATACTGCACCCCAAGGCTATGAGGAAAATCATGTCCCAACCCGAAACCCTAAACCCTTAAGCGTATGAGAAACTCATGTTCCAACTTTCTAATTAACACCCGAAACCCTAGACCCTCAGCTTTGTGGCTTCTACTGTACACCCAGGCCATGGATTCGCCCCTCTCTGACCCGTCGGCCCCCTGGACGCAGGCAGGGATGCAAGAAGTTGTGGGGTTCAGGTTTTCGGGTTTAGGGTTCAGGATTTTGGTGTGATTTTAAGTTTCGGATTTCGTTGAGCCCGAAATCCGAAGACTAGACACCAGAGCCGAAAGCCCTCACTCCTGTAGCCTATGGCTCTCATACGCCCCGGGGGTTGTGGCCCGCCGGCACAGAGATTTCGATCCAAGCCCCACATACAGCAGTTGTTCACCGCGAACGGTTACATCACCTCTGATGATTGCAGGAATCTTTACAGACGAAGTAATATAGGGGCCTTATTAGGTAGTGATTACCTACATTGGCTTTTGGGTTCCTTTTTCATTATATGATAAAGGATCCCCAAACCCTATTCTAACGATTCAGGCCCGGGGCTATATTAGGCTCCCTGCTTTTCGGAAGAGGTTCTGCAGGAAGAATCTGGTGGGTCCGAGGCAAGAGCTTGGTAAATCTTGTTTCACGCAGATCTCAAAAAAACAGCTGCACACCCTTTGGGGTTTAGGGTTTAGGGTGTGCAACAACAAGATCCAAGACAGCACTCCTACCCTAAACCCCGAAACCCTAAACCCTCCTACAGAACTACCTCGGGACTGGCCTGATACTCTAGGCACTACCTAAAGGTCCATGTGGCCATTTTGTATCTACTTTGGGGCTAAAGTATCTATAGAGGGTTACTTTGATGGCCAAAATGTCTAGTACCTGAGCAGATGGACCCTTAGGGCCTTATAGAGCCCGAAAGCCTAAACTCTCGAACCTGACTCTCATATTATGGACAGGTCCTCCGAAGAGGGGATCAGGTGTCGGAGCCCTACGCCTCCACTGGCTTGCAGTATCTATCCCTTCAAGCTTTGAGAGTCGGGCTGCAGGGTTTAGGATTTTGGGCTTAGGGTTTAGGGTACAGCCCTGTCCGGAGCCCTGATCCGTTGAGCCTTACGGTTTGGCATGCAGAAAAGGATCGTTTGGAAGTTGCGGGCAAGTAGGGGGATTGACACCCAAAATCACATTAGATGCCTTCCTCCAGCCCAACCCCCAAAAGGATCCTAGGTCCTAAGTACCTAGATGGTAAAATGTAGGGTTCATATATCGGGAATTACTGTTCTGATTCGCGGAAGTATTCCCCATAGCAGTACCTGGAACCCTTGGAAAGCCCCTGTTGGGCGAGTGAGTTTAGGCAACTTAAGTGCCTAAGTTGCCTGGAGAAACAAAAGCCTGAGTCAACGCCCAGCCCCTAAATGTTTAGGGTTTAGGGTTTAGGGGCTACTTCATATTGCTCCTGCCTTCTGAAACCGTTGCCTGCGGACTACTGATTTCGACCCCCGTTCTTACCTCACAAACCCCTCCAACAACCCAAGAGCACTACACTTTTCTCTCAGAGCTCTACCAATAGCTGCCAAGTCCTCTTCACGGGGTTTAACTTCAGGCCTTAAGGTTCAGCATCGACGCCCTTGCGAGGGTCTGCCGGCGTTCCTGCGAAATTCCAGGGCTCTCTTATTCAGGGTGCTCCTATAGGCGCCTTAATCATTATCTATGTTTTTTTTGGGGTTCCTTATTCTGATGTTGGTACCATAGACCACAAAACCCTATTCTAATTATTAAGGCCTCTACATTACGCAACGCTGCGGCCTTGAGGTCCGGCGCTTTACACCCAACTGATGCACACCGCGCACCCTACTTGAGGAGTTGTTCGGCCAGACACCTCCTAAACCCCAAACCCTAGATCCTGAATCTGCAGCAGTAAACCGTAGACCGTTATTGGCCCAGAATTATATTATAGTGTACTATACCATGGAACAGTGAAGGCAACGAAGCCCTAAACACCATCCCTAATCTTTCAAAACCCAGACGGAGCCTCTACCCAGGTTTGCGGTGATCTTCGCACTGGAGATGGTCATAAAGCTAATCGCTTACGGCCTGGCGCTGCCCTCGTTTAAAGCTTCATGTCGTTTGTGTGATGAGCCACTGTGGGTTGGGGATTTTCGCATGTAGAGATTCAAGATTTAGGATTTGAGTATGTTTGAGTTGGGATTTTCGCATGTAGAGATTCAAGATTTAGGATTTGAGTATGTTTGAGTTTTCAGCTTTCGTTGGGTTTCAACATGTCGAGTTTCACATCGAGGCTGTTCGGTTTCGCACTGGGGTCAGGGTTTTCGAAGATGTTTAGGGTTCTGCCCTCCTTGGGTTTCGGGTTTACCTCTAGCCTCCATTGTAGTGCCTTGTTTGGCTAACCAGTTTTATGGTTGGGATCCTATAATATAAATTTGGTTAACCAAAAAAAAGGAACCACAATGGAGACTATACGGCTCCCAAGAATCCAAGTAAGCAAGTCCTACCGTCTTTGGGGTCTAAACTGCAAACGAACACATGGTCTTTGGGGCTGTCTAGAGTATAACATAGGGTCCTTCGCTACTGGGATGGGGGTTTCGGCTTGAGATGGGGACTGTACACGGATAGTCTTACTAAGACCTCTGAAGCCTAAACCTTAACCCCTATGGTCTTGAGAAAGCCCGACCTACTGACAGGTTGGTGCCACAGCCTGACAGTCCTCCGAGTCCTGACACGGCAACATACAGCCTGAATAATCACAATAGGGTTTTGGGGTATCTTCGTGAGCCTTGTTCTCACATATGCAGCAAAACCTTTGAAGCCGCTACGACGTGGAGTCTTGGGGTGGCTTATTGGGAGAAGGGTCGGCGTTTATTGAAAGATCACCCAATCTCTCGGCCAAGTTGCCCGCTGGAGTTTAGGATTGAGGTTGAAGCCCTAAACCCAAAACGTTGGAAGCCTCTGGGTCCCAGGGTTCTTTGTAATCCCGGAGGGGCCTTAATGCTCAAATGCTCAATCCAGCCGGTCCCTCAGCAGGTTTAAGTACTAGAGGGGGCAGGCAAGCATGGTGCTCGGATGATCAGAATAGGGTTTCGGGGTGTTTTCGAGCAGACCTACGATAAGGAACCTCAAAGGAATGCCATGGTTAATGACTGAACACCCGACTTCAAGCAGTAATGTTGGGGGCCGCAAAATATTACCAAACTATTTTGGGGCTTCCTTCCTATAATTATGGTATACTGGATCCCGAAACCCTATTCCAATTGTCAAGGCCCCCATGCTAACACGGTTCAGGGTTTATGGGGTCTAAGAAAATCTTGAACCCGAAGCTCTGTTTCTCCCTAAACCCTAAACCCTAAACCCTATATAAACAACATCTCGACCTTCCACCCCTTTCACCCTCACCCCGATGGACTTCTCAGTTCTGGTGCGAGCATGGCTATCTCAAAGACGGCTGGAACGTCTTGGACGGGGTGGTAGCTGCTTGGAAGCATGGCCCTGCCTCGAGACCCGACCGAAATACAGATTCAGATTCTATACTATAGGGGCCTCAATTATTACCAATACTATTTTGGGGTGTTCTTTATTATGAGTATAGCATGATGGGCCCCAAAACCCTATTCGAATTATTAAGACCCCTCTACATTAAGTGTTCTGGGTTACAAAGAGGCAAAAATGGCATTTACAGGATCTTGTACAGATTGTCAGGGTGCAAAGTATCAGCGGTTTTGGTATTTGCATTTTTGTGGGGTTTCATGATCATTAGGTACTTGGATCCGTCGCGTCCATGGGCCAAAAGGGGCATACATATCGATCGGTGCATTTAATCGTGAAGCTTCGCAGCCGCAAGCCCTAACCCCGACACCCGCTTCATTCCCTTGGCCGGCACAACCCCAATTGCAGGTCATCATCACCTTGTTGGACTTCTTGATGGAAGGCCGCCACCCTGCCACATGCACTACATGTCGAACAACGTTTCCTTAGATCTCTACTTGCAAGTTGGGTTACCTAAAAAGATCTATAAGGGTACGTACTTTCAGGGTGCTTTATGGATAGTTCTCTCAGTTGAGGTCGGTCAGAAGAGTCTCTCAACCAGCAGCCGAACCCCGCGAGCTGCAGTTCGAAGCCCACGTTGTGACATAACCATAAGGGTCCATGTACCCAAATAGTAGATACTTTGGCCCCACAGGGCCTATATAGGGACTACTTTAAGGCCAATGTACCTAGTAGAGGGGTACATGGACCCTTAGGGTAAAGGCTCGGAGGATCGAACATGACAGCGACCAGAGGGGTGAGTAAGGGCCAGACCTGGGCCCTAAACCCGAAACCCTGCCCAGACAACATGGTTGGGGTCGCCTTTAGCGTCAAGTACCCGGAGCTTTGAAAGCAAGCTAAGCCCTAAACCCTAAACTGTGGAAGGTGCTCAAGCCTGCGCCTTGCCCCTCTGCACCCAATACTACAGGCCCACAGGCATGAGCCTAAACTCTAAAAGGAATAGGCTTGGGTGGGTAGCCGCCTTAGACTGCGTGGGGTAAAGCCTTCTATAGACAGCTCAGCGGCACAGAACAGTACACTCGACACGACGGGTCGCAAGATACAGCCGCCTACGCACTGTTCACGGCAAAGCCCTGAACCCCCCCAAACCCCTAAACCCGAAACCCTGAACCCCGATAAACCCTTAGAAGCCAGCCTAGAGCTTGGCACTTCTTAGGCCATTAGCACCAAACCCGAAGCCCCTAAACCCGAAAGCCTAAATTACGGTTTAGGGTTTAGGGTTAAATCCTATTCCCCGAAACCCGCCCTAAACCCGAACATGCTTACTCGACATGACAAACTCCGCTGCGCCCTAAGCTCTGGGACTATTAACGTTTGGGGTTCATTTTATCCTATAGACTATAGTTAAAAAAAATGTGCCTTTTTTGTGGCTAAACCCTAAACCCTAAATCCTCGGTAACCCTAAAACCCTAAGACACAGGCAGCGGCGGTGGATTCCTGAAGACCGTGCGAATCCTGCGAGCCCTTCGGCCACTGCGACTCATTTCGAGGCCATGTGGCGGGTTGTGGGGCTTGGGGGGGGTAGCAGGGCTTGGAGTCTTAGGTTTTCCGGTTAGGATTTAGGGGTTGGGTTTTAGGGAGTTCCTACTTTGTTCCGGCCTGCGATCCACAGAGACTGAGGTGATTCAACCCTGACAGGACTTGGTCTGGGAGGTCAAGGTAGGGATGAGACCCCAGGAGTTACAGAAATAGTGGGTGATTGTCCCTTAAGCCCTATATAAAAATTGTAATACCCATAACCCAGTAACTTACTATATAAGTAACTGGGCTCCTAGAGAGACTTGTCACACTTCAGCCGGGAGCGTACACGGAACACTGGCCGGACTCCTCCTCCGCGATCCCCTTAAACCATAGCCCTGCACCCCAATATGAATGGTCTTTTGGGACCTAATTCCATAATGGTTGTATATATGGACCCTCTGGGTAAGGGCGTCTAGAGTTCCCAGATAAATCGTTCCACACGACTTGCTGCTGCAATGGAGGAACCAGAACCTCCGAGTCGTGGCCTTGCACTCAGAGTGGGTCCGAAGTATTCAGCAACTGCTACTTAAAGGTTCATGGGACTTAGTAGCAAAGGTTATAAATAAGGTAACTATAGTTAGAATTACTTATAACCCCAATTAAGGTACTTATAGCTCTACTTGTTCAATCCCGTGAACCTCCAAGTAGAGCGCATGAGGTTTATGATGGGGTGGGCCATGGTGGGTTGGCCCGCGCATCATCATCTGTCAATGCTTCTTATAATGAATGATGTCGACGATGCCCATCCCAACGTTTGTGCGTGGCTTCAGGTGACCGGGGAGCTGGGCAGGTTAAGCTTTGGCCGTGGCTTTATGCACCCTATACCCTAAACCCTAAACCCTAAAGACCGTGAAGGTTTTGCGCTTCTGGTAACAAGAGCAGAGGTTCGAGTGCCCTTTAAAAACCGGCCACGTGATGGGTCTTCAAGTTCAAGACCCAGCCAGCCCAACATAATTATGTCCCTACACACTACTGCTCCTAAACCCGAAACCCGAACCCTCAACCCTTAACCCTAAACCCAAACCCTAAACCCTAAACCCACATCTTTCCCAAGGCTCAGACCATCTTCTCCTCTCTGCAAGATCTTCTGAGTCTGATGGCCTTGGGCCTCGGGCGCCGGTTTGGGGATTCCATATCTTCGCATTGGTGCAGTTTAGTTTGAGGGCTTAGGGTGTAGGGTTTAGGGTTAGGTCTTCTCTAGTGCTTCAGATCCCTAAACCCTTAACTCAAAACCCTAAATCCTAAACCCTAACTATGTGATCTAATCTGCGTTTGCGTCTTCTCTGGTGCCCCAGATCCCTAAACCCTAAGCCCTAACTATGTGCTCTCATGTGCGCTTCAACCGTACTCAACCTGACGCCCGATTTTCAGAAGTCGTGTTGGTTTTGATGACTCTCGATTCACGGTCAGACAGGGTTGCAGGCAGGGATCCGGGAGGGTGTAGGGTTTTGCAGTTGAGTTCAGATATCCGGAGTTCTGGGGTTTAGGGCTTTGTGGCTAGATTGTTATCAAAAGGATTGCCCCGCAGAAAAGACACCCGATGCCTCCGAAAAGCCTCCCCGTGCCCACACCCGCAAACCTCACCCCAGGGCTGTGGCACTCTGGTAAATGCAAGTAAAACTTGGAATCATACATATATATATATATAGAGCCGACATATATATATATATATATATTTATAGAGATATAGATAGAGAGAGAGATGTCCACAGACATTCATTGCTGCTGCTTATCTGCATCGCCATCGGCAAGGAGGAAGAACATCGTTACGAGGCAGTACTTGTGGTGTCACTTCGCTGTTGCTTCATGCCTTTACGCTTGCATGTGATTCTGCCAAAGCACCCTTAAACCTAAAGCATGAACCGCATCATCAACCCTAAAACTCCAAACCCTAAAACCTCGAACCTAGGCCCTAAACCTAACCTCTAAACCCGCTGAGACCGAGGTTGTGGCTCTTCTCTTTCTCCTGATTTTTGCGCTCTTCGCCACCAGCATGCTCTCTGGAAGGCCCCCGGTTGATGTCTAGGTAGCCCGGTTTGGGGCCTTAGGGCTTAGGGTTCACAAGGCACGAACGCGTCAGAGAGTAGGGAACATCCTTCAGAACCTTGAAGCTTGCAACCCCTGGACCTAAACCCTATAGATCCAAGAACAGCCGTAGAGTCCAACGCGATTCTCGGCCAGGATGTACAGCTGCAACGAGACGTCAGGGACGGTGACGTTGATCCGGACTCGGTTGTTGGACTCTTGTGCATGATCTTAGGGCCTTGGGTTCAGGGTTTCGGGTATACGGAAGGTTTGCAGTTTAGGGCTTAGTTCAAGCAGGGGTCCAAAGTTTTTGCATGGCCTTGCCCTTACATCTCTTGCTCCACGTCGTCTGGGACATTCCATGCAGTCTCATGTTTCAGAGCGCAGCAGCAATAATTTCTGCAAACCCTAAACCCTAGACCCTAAACCTTAAACCCTAAACCCTAAACCCTAAAGGGACTTAAGGCTTCAGACTTCTATAATCGGGACAGGCACGCTTGAGTTTGGGGAACTGTTGCTTTTTTCGTAAGCCGAACCTGTCATGCCAAAATCCCAAACCGAAACCCTCAACCGGACCCTACCTTTTCCCCAAAGAGCTCACCGGTTTAAGGACTTGTACAAGGAATACATGCGAAGGAACCCATGAAACGCAGGCTTTACGGTGTTATGGTATACACTGGACCCCAAAACCTGAGCCGGAGCTCCGAACTGCAGGATAAGCACTTGGGGTTTTAGGGTTTAGGGTTCACGGGTCATCAGAATAAGCATCCTTTCCTTTAGAGGGCCTAGATTAGTCCGCTATTCCCTTCAGCAAACGAGACTAACATGTAAGCAAAACCTTAAACATACAACATCACAAGCATGAACAGCATCAACTACAATGAAACTTAATTTTGAAGACAAGTCTATGTACATACATGCATACACACATAGATACATATATACATACATGCAGACATACAGGCATACAGGCATACAGACATGCATTCATAGATACATCGCATCGAGCACAAAAAGCTCAAAACAAGTCGTTTGGAGCCTTGCCATGCGCCCCGGGGGACCGAGGCTACGTGACATCGGAAGCTTGAGGACTCCGCTATGTCTCAGTCTACAGCTCAGACAGCGCAGGATGTTTTTGGGGGTAGTAGGGTTCGGGGCTTTGGGGCCGTTTGGGGTTTAGGGCTGTTTCGGGTTCAGGCTTTAGGGTTTAGGGTTGTGCTGTTTGTTGATTGGTACTGTAGGCTTGTGTAGGGGTCGGGGCTTTAGGTTTAATAAAGGTTGTTTAGGGCTTTGGGGCTCTAAGGTTTCGGGTTGGGGGTCTCCTAGAGTCGAGTCGGTGCAAAGGATTCCGATATGTGTAGATTTCTTGCGCTCCTGGGTTTAGCCCTAGATCCCAGCATCCAGAACAGAAGCACTGCTTTAGTACCTTAAGTCTAAACTAAACTAAACCCTCGCAGAAATCGCAAACCCTACAACCCCAACACTCTAGTCCCGAAGCTCCCAACTCCCTCGCGGTCACAAAGCACATAAACCAACATGCAACTAATCCTAGGGTTTGCGGCTCAGGCATTGAAGCCACGAAAATTCCTAATTATCCTGTCGGTTTTCGAGGGGCTCGCATTTGGAGAAGCGCTCGTGCGGTCTTGGCTTAGGTTCGGGTGCAGGATCGGGGCTGAGTCTCTTTAATCGGCATCTGGGGATCTGAATCGAAGGGGCTAGAGAAAAACCTGTGAGGTGCAGCATTACAGCTATTACCGTAAACCCTAAACCCTAAACGCCCTAAACCCTAAGCACGCTAAATCCTAAACTGACCGTTGCTGAATTTTGTAGCAACCCTGAAGGTTGGAGCTACTACTACTACTACTACTACTACTACTACTACTACTATTCGGTGCTTACCCACAGGGTGCTACGATGATTATCCCAAATTTCTGATGATTTGGCTCCTTGGACCCTGAGAAGCTTATAAATCCCTGTAGAGCCGCATAGAGGCCTTAATAATTATGACCCAGAGGGGTCCATACCATACGACCATTGTGGAAATAGGTCCCAAAAGGCCATCCTTATTATGGGCTTGGGGACTTAGTCTCATAATGGTAGTATAGATGGACCCTCTAGGTTGACTACTGTGGATTCTGAGCCATGACAGTGGTCCTTGCGTCAGGCTGCCGAAGGCAAAGGCATCTACAGGAACTCACCAACTTCCAGGATTATTATGTTGGTGGCGATGAAGATGAGGAGGTGTGGTGTCTAGGGTTCAGGGTGCAGAGTAGATGGCGATGAATCGTGGCAACCAACTGCGGCTTACGATGACGATGGCAACTACGACCGAGCGACACGAAGCCCTAATCCTCATTCTGTAACATTCAAAGCCCCAAGACTTGAACTCCAAACCATAGACGCCAAAACCTCAAACCCGACTCCAAGCACCAAATTGCCAGCGGCTCGTTCACCATCGTCCACGCCTTTTAAAACCTAAACCAAGCATTGCACCACAAATTGCACCTCACTCCCTGAATCACACGCAGACACACACTCTTGCGGACCCTATAAATCCTAAACGCTGAACCCTACACCATGAAGAAACCCTAAAGCCTAAATCCTAAACCCCTAAATCCTAAACCCCTAAACCCTAAATCCTAAATTCTAAACCCTTAAACCCTAAACCCTAAACCCTACACCATGAAGAAACCCCAAACCCCTAACAGCCGAACGAGGCGGCAGTGTGCTCCAGGGTTCCTGCGCCGACGGTGCTGCGGCAGCCAACGGCTCGGCAGGGCCCCCAGGTCGGCATTTTCCCATAGGGTTTAGGGCCTAGGGTTTTAGGGTTTTAGGGTTTAGGGTTTTAGGGTTTTAGGGCCTAGGGTTTTAGGATTTTAGGGTTTAGGGTTCAGGGTTAATCTTTGGTTCTTTAGGGTTTACCTTAACCTACCCAAAACCCACTTTTTTGGTAGTCGCTTATTATATGTCCTAGAGTTGTAGGGGCCCTACAAAAAAGTAGGTTCTGGTGGGATATCTTAGGGTCTAAGATTTTGGGTTCAGGCTTATATTCGCCTTTAGGGCTTCATGGAGTGCGAAAGGCCCCGAAGCCCAGGTGTCCCAGACCAACTCCGAAGCGGGAGTGGGTCTGCTGATAGATAGAATCTTTGCTGATATTATACGGTTAGCCGTCAGCTTATTTCTACTTGTTTCAATGTCCCAAGTAGCAATTTATTTCTACTTGTTTCAATGTCCCAAGTAGCAATACTCAGGTAACTCACGTCATGGCCAGTTCTATAGCCATTGATTACTCAGCCGAGGTGTGGGTGCAATCAGGATGCGCTGCTGGGGGATGCGGGGAGCTGAGAGTTGCAGGCCCTGTGCACAGGTTTCACGATCGAATATAGGAGTGTTAATAGTTAGAATGGGGTCGCGAGGTATATAAGAGTGGAGACACCCTAAACCCTAAACCCTAAACCCTAAACCAATAGTCATAGTTGTGTTAACTTGATAAGGAACCCCCTAGGAAGAACATTGGCACTTATTCAGGCCCCCCTCGTCCCCCCCCATGTTGCTCAAGATCAACAAGACTCCCAACACTGAAAACCAAAAGCTCTACCAGGCCGCCCCGTCCGGAATTACCCATAAACGGAGCCCTTATGGTAACCAATCGTGATCATTTAGGCTGTATTGTTGCGAGTGGGTAGAGGTGGAGCCGGAGGTTAGGATGTAGGCTTTCAAAACAAGAACTCTGAACTTCTCGTGCGGAGCCCGAAAGACTTCGCCCCAACTTCAGATCTGAATGGCCTTCAGCAGTTGGCATATGGGCGTTTCCGAAAATTGATGGGTACCTTATTTTGGGGGTCCTTATAATAAGGATCCGACTATTTAGGGTACCAAATTCGGGTCCCCTGTTTTCGGAAACCCCCATATACTTTCTGCACGAAAACGCATAGGAGCTGCGGTATGCTGCTTGCTCAGACTCGAAGTGAATGATCCCGAATCCCGAACCTACATCTACAGCCCAGCGGTGCGACTTAGAGTTTTTGGACCTCCTGACACACACCCACGGTTGGAAGAAGTGGCCTAAAATCGGTTTAGGGTTTAGGGTTTTGGGTTTAGTATTTAGGGGCCGAAAAGGCCAAAGCTTTCAAGCCTAAGTCATCCCGAGTTACCCGAGAGCCTTAAGTTCTCTACTGCAGGATCTTAACCCAAATTCGCCATTCTCATCAACCCCGGTGTACACCATAGGCCCACCTCTAAACCCTGAACCCTAAACCCTAAAACCCCCATACTTCCCTACCCCCGAGCCACCTAAATCCGAAACCTTCAATCCTAAACCCTACACCCAAGACACAACCAGGTTCAGAGTTCAACCTCTCTTGGGTCCGAGCCACTGCCAGAGCCCCGGGATGTCGTGTGGGAGTTCGGGCTCAGGGCTCAGAGGGTTCATTGCGGGTGTTTGGTACTTTGTGGCTTGAAGGGCAGGCGGTTATGGGTCTTTAAGGGTTTAGGGTTTTTGTTTAGGGGGTTTAGGGGTTTCAGGGTTTTGCGGCCTATCAAGTATGGGTTTAGGAGTTGGGGCCGACTGATCTGCGGATCCTGCACAGGGGCCTCCAGTCAAGAACCGAATATCGGTGGTTTAGGGTATATGGTCCATTATAGCATAGCTTCATAACTACGATCTTGGATAGGGTCTAGGACGTCGAAGTTTTAAGGTTGATGGTTGAGGGCTCAGGATGCTTGACGCCTAGGATTGCAAGGCCTTTGGATTCCGGACTTGGTGTTCAGGGTTGAAGGTTTGGGCAGAGTTTTGGGTTGACCTTCCAGGGCTTGGGGCTTTTTGGGGTAGTTCGGCGCGAACGAGCTCCTAAGAGCCATATATCTTAATTCGTAGGTTACGAGGTCATGGCTGCTATAAGGGTTTAGATGTAAGGTGCAGTAACCCACTAAACCTTGGGCTCCATATTCCGCAGACACAGACTGGAGGCCCCAATCGTTCGAAGCCGAAGCCCTGCAAAACCGGCCGATCCTGTAGTCCAAACCGTTTCGATGTAGTCCAAACCGTTTCGATCTTCGACGCCATGCTTGTGTGATTTTGTGTATTTTGTATATGTACGTGTGTGTGTGTATATATATATATATATAATTATTTGTTTTTACATCCATACTGAATCTTCCGACGGCACGTGAGTCTTCGAGCTGTATGCACTGCG